GAGCTGTATTCAGTAATAAATTTGTGGGTTTTTTTTTTTTATTTCATTACTAGCAGCGGCACACTGGAGCGAGTTCTGTTGATTGGAGCATTGTGCAAGGGGCGTATCCGAACACTGGAGAACCTGTGCTCTGTGTTGAGTAGGTCCGGCTCTCCCGTGTGCTGCAAGCAGAAGGTGTTTTAACCGTTTGCTGCAGCACATAGAAAGCATTTGTTTGCTCTCGATGTTCTGCAGCAAACGATTAAAATACCTTCTATGTTGCAGTAAACTGAAAGTCAACAGAAGAAGACACTTGACTGCATCACAGTGATAAAATCAGAAGGTTCATTTGACCTTTAATGATGCAATGACCACCTCACTACGTCTCCCTTGAAAAAACTTTGGTCCAAATACATGTGACAACTTAACAGACAAGTCCACAATGAGGGCCAGATTATGCCTATACAGGTAGTCAAAACACCTGCCGAACGCAACATGCAGGACCAAAAGGAACAGTTGTGAAAGAACCACCCACACTAGTTCAGACAATCTCATCCAGGGTTACATGGAGCTCTCTGATTCCTCCAGGAGGTTGCTAAAGGTTTCTTGAACTATGGCTGATTGACACCAAGGAACAGTTGTGAAAGAACCACCCACACTAGATCAGCCAATCTCATCCAGGGTTACATGGACCTCTTTGGTTCCTCCAGAGGTTGCTAAAGGTTTCTTGAACTATGGCTGACTGACACCATTTCATGGTGTCTGCAAACTTCCAAAGCCAATTGGCAAAACCAATAGCATGACACCAATTAGCTTTTTAGCTGTTTGTAAGGGTGACATTCTGACCATCGTTGCAAGCAGGGGCGTATTTATCACAAGGCAAACAAGGCATTTGCCTAGGGTGGCATTTTTTGGGGGGGAACACCACCCCCTGGAAAAAGGGACAGAAGAAGGGACACATGTGGCATGGGGACCAAGTGGGATTTGAGAGAGGTTGTGGGCTGCTTTATGGTGTACGCAGAGCCCGACTCTCATTCCCAGGGATGTCCGGAACTTTAAAGGTCAGGGTCTTTCTCTCACTGGGGTGGGGGGGATGTATGTTAGTAGAAGACTCCCATGGTTGGAGGGGGCAGGGGTGTTGTTGGTCAATGTCAGGCTCTCTCTGCAGGACGGGAGGGTCCGATTTTTGAGTTGCCTATGGCAGCACAAAACCTAAATAGACCACTGGTTGCAAGGGTTGCATTCTTCTTACTGATCACGAATGTAAGAGCAATATTGACCCCTTGACCCTTCACTGAAATGATTTTAGTAAAGACCTGAAAATTATTTTAGGGTGTCCTATGGCGTAAAAATGCTGCACTACACAATGCAGGTCTCAGAAGACTAAATCTTTCATAACGGCAATGACTTGTATGTGGCTGTCCCCAAAGCTGGAGCCACATCCTGGGATGGCCCCATACAAGTCTATGGGACCTCAGTGTGAAGGTGCAGCCGATGCTTAAGTGGGTTTCTGTCCAATGTTCAGTTCATATTGCACAAGAACTGTCCTGGTATAAAGGTGAGTAGGACGCTGGTGGCTAGTGCAGGTTAGCTCAAGGTAGGGGCATGCATTAGAAGATTTTAGGTTGCCCTCTAAGTTGTCCTCTAAGGTACGCATTAGAATAGCAGCTCAAAATATACGCCTGCTGAAAATATGCCATTTACCTATAAATACAAATCTACTGAAAAACAAATGATATTCATGCCAACAATGTACTATGATCTTCAGCAGCAGTGATAATAAATGTTATCTTGAATTTACATTGAAAAGTGTACTGTTATTTTGGATGGGGTGGGAAAAAGCTGGAACCTCCAAGTTTTCGTTGCCACCTGTGACACCTCTGAGGAGCTTCATTCCATCATTTATCCTGGTGACCACGTCATTGAAAAAAAGAAAACCAAAAAGGTTAACTCCACTTTCGTAAAATAAATAAATATAACATATAAAATTGCTACAAAAGCCACTTTGTTTATAATATTGAAGATTACTTTTACATTTCAATTTGAAGTTTTTGTAATTTTCAAAAATGTTTCAAAAATTCAATGCAATATGGCAACCTAGAGGTGATCTGACAAAAATGTCACTTTCTACCAGGGGTGGACTGACCATTCAGAAACTTGGGCACTGCCCGAGGGCCGAGGTCAGTAAGGGGCCCCATGAGATGCCCCTGGTACCTTACATATGCTTTTTTTGGTGTGGTTTGAGTGTGGACGAGCACACAGGGGCCCCATGATCCCCTATTGCCCGGGGGCCCCATGAGTTGTAGGTCTGTCCCTGATTTTTACTTGTGTGACTGGCTCACTGATTTTCTACAATGTCAGTGCTAAGGTACAAGTAACATTGTAGGCCCCCTCTGCGATAGGAATTTCATTTTTGGTGAAAGGCTCTTCTAAAGGAATGCAGACACTACTGAACTACCAGAACACTTAGGCCCCATTCACACCTATACATAGCAGGAACACCTCTTGCTGCTCGCGTTTTTTGCAGTTTTCCACGCATTAACATGTGTCACACCTAGGACTGACCATTCTCTTTAATTTGCTGCCCTATGCACAACAAACATATAGTTACATAGTTAGTCTGGCTGAAAAAAGACAAAAATCCATCCAGTTCAAGCAAAAAAAAAAAAAAAGTTATAAATCCTATACCCACAGTGGATCCAGAGGAAGGCAAAAAAAACCAGCAAAGCATGATCCAATTTGCTCCTGCAAAACAAAATGTTTCTGTAAAAAAAAAAAAAAAAAAAAAAACGTTGTGAAATAAATAAATAAATAAATTGGGTCTTTCCCCACGTTTATCCAAAACAAAAAGTTTTTGTAAAAAAAATTAATAAATTGACCGGGTCTTTCCCCACGTTTATCCAAACAAAAAGTTTCTGCAAAAAAAATAAAAATAAATAAATTGACGGGGTCTTTCCCCACGTTTATCCAAAACCAAAAGTTTTTGTAAAAAAAATTAATAAATTGACCGGGTCTTTCCCCACGTTTATCCAAAACCAAAAGTTTCTGTAAATAAATAAATAAATTGACGGAGTCTTTCCCCATTTTTATCCAAAATGTTTCTGTAAATAAATAAATAAATTGACGGGGTCTTTCCCCATGTTTATCCAAACAAAAAGTTTCTGTAAAAAAATATGAAAATAAATAAATTGACGGGGTCTTTCCCCACGTTTATCCAAAAGCAAAAGTTTCTGTAAATAAATTGACCGGGTCTTTCCCCCACATTTATCCAAAACCAAAAGTTTCTGTAAATAAATTGACCGGGTCTTTCCCCCACATTTATCCAAAACAAAAAGTTTCTGTAAATAAATAAATTGACGGGGTCTTTCCCCATGTTTATCCAAACAAAAAGTTTCCGTGCAAAAAAATAAAAAAAAATAAATTGACGGGGTCTTTCCCCATGTTTATCCAAAACAAAAAGTTTCCGTAAAAAAATAAATAAGTTGACGGGGTCTTTCCCCCACGTTTATCCAAAACCAAAAGTTTCTGTAAATAAATAAATAAGTTGACCAGGTCTTTCCCCCACATTTATCCAAAACCAAAAGTTTCTGTAAATAAATAAATAAATTAACGGGGTCTTTCCCCCACATTTATCCAAAACAAAAAGTTTCTGTAAATAAATAGATAAATTGACGGGGTCATTCCCCATGTTTATCCAAAACCAAAAGTTTCTGTAAATAAATAAATTGACGGGGTCTTTCCCCACGTTTATCCAAAACCAAAAGTTTCTGTAAATAAATAAATAAATTGACGGGGTCTTTCCCCATGTTTATCCAAACAAAAAGTTTCTGTAAAAAAAAAATAAATAAAATTGACGGGGTCTTTCCCCACGTTTATCCAAAACAAAAAGTTTCTGTGAAAAAAATAAAATAAATTGACGGGGTCTTTCCCCACGTTTATCCAAAACAAAAAGTTTCTGTGAAAAAAAAAAAAAAAAAATTGACAGGGTCCTTCCCCACTTTTATAAAAAAAAATAAAGTAAATACAGAAGTCACTTGATTTTTAAAAGCAACCAAAATAATACTATAAAACATTAAATAGTATTATTAATAATAATAATAATAATAATAATAATATTTAAACTATTTAAAATAATGAAGCAATATTGTATAGAGGTATTGATTGGTTATCCATGTTTAGGTGTCTCTTGCGTTGCCTGTGTTATATTCTACATTTGCTCAGACTACCCGTTGGTAGAATATTGGCTAATAAAACAGCCGTGCCCCCACAACACGAACAAATATTCCCCAAACGTCCACAAGATCTATTTTAAGTCTGTCTTCTTTTGCTATCAGTCCGTCCCTCTCTACTAGTGAAGTTTTTTTTTTTCCTTCCCTCTCCCTGTACTTGCTGTGAGAAGTGGCCATTGAGCGGAGCAGGGATTGGGCTATATTTTTGGAACAGCTGGGATGCAATACCCTTGTTAGGTCTGTTTTAACATTCACTCATCTCCCGCACTCACAGGCTGTGTGCCTGGGACTCTACTCTGCTGTCTCGCCCGGACACAGAGAGAGAAGGGGGGAGCAAGTCTATTTGCTGGGAGGGGGTTAATAATCTAGGACCACCGAAATGATATCATGAACAAGAAGAGCCAAATAATGCAAGGACAGGCTGCGGAGCACGTTAACCCTTTCCTAACTGTGAAACGACCCAGGCCGAAGAGATCCAATCAGATTAACCCTCTCTGCATCGTGAGAACTAGCACTGGCTTCAAACGCTCCACCCCGCACAAAATTATTTTTTTTTACCCAATTAAAAGCTTAGGGCCACTTTGTGCAATATTCATGAGACAATTACATTTTCAATCTGATTTAAATTATTTTTTTTAGATCACATATATATTTTATCCGTCAAAAAAACCCAAACATTTTTAATTAGGCTTAAAAAAAAAAAGAAAAAAAAATTGAAAATCTTTTTTTTTTCTTTTATTTCTCTAAAATATTTTAGGCTTTTTTTTTTTCTTTTTTGCATTTCAAGTCAACATGAGCGGAGGTCGGTTTGACTTCGATGACGGAGGGGCATACTGCGGGGGGTGGGAAGGCGGTAAAGCTCATGGGCATGGAATCTGCACAGGACCGAAGGGCCAAGGAGAATACTCGGGGTCCTGGAATTATGGGTTCGAGGTGGTAGGCATCTACACCTGGCCAAGCGGTAATACCTACGAAGGATATTGGTCGCAGGGGAAAAGACACGGCTTGGGAGTGGAAACTAAAGGACACTGGGTGTACAAAGGTGAATGGACTCATGGATTTAAAGGAAGGTATGGAGTCCGACAGAGTATGACCAGCGGGGCAAAGTACGAAGGAACATGGCAGAGTGGCCTACAAGATGGATATGGTACTGAGACGTATGCAGATGGAGGTATGAAACTATAGCTTCAATAATTACACCGTGTATACATGGATGGTTGTGCTGTGTAGCTAGGGGCGGACTGTCCATTTGGAAACTCTGGCACTGCCCGAGGGCCCGGGGTCAGCAGGGGGCCCTATGAGATGCCCCTGGTACCTTTTTCATAGGCTTTTTTGAGTTTGGGTAAGGACACAGGGGCCCCATGATCCCCTATTGCCTGGGGGCCCCATGAGTTGTCAGTCCACCCCTGTGTGTAGCATTTGTATGTATCAACAGGTCAACAATTTTTTGGTGCCCCCAAGCCATGATCCAGACAATCCTGAGCTATGAGGAGCAGTTGTAGGATAAGCAGTGAAATAAAACGCTGTATTAAATTCAAGGCTTGATACCCATGGGAGGTGAATAAAAATACACTTCTCATCGCTCCTTTTCCTGCTCGTGCCTATGAGTTCTGAAACAAATTCATTTATAACCATGGGTGGATTTGGTGCCCAAATGGTTTCCTATTGCAAGACACAACACAGGTAGGAGGGATCTGGCCCCCAAATCCATCAACGTTTTGTTTAATTCATAAAAAATGTTGTACAATTGATATCATGACCATACCTAGATTAATATAGTTGTACCCTACCCACCCACCACTGCATATGGGGAGAGCTGCCATGGGATCATGAGAACTCTTATTGGGAACAATTTCTAAAAATGTACCAGGTCTGTCTTTTTCTGTAAGCAAAAATTGTAGCTAGTTTTTAAAAAGCGGACACTTTAGACTGATACAAAAAGAAATGGCACTTGGGTTATCGGCTTTATTAGCATCTAACTTTGATTTGGGTAAAAAGTGTAGATCTATTACATATACATGGCACTCAACAAAGGAGACATTAGATAATCTGGATTTCATCATTTTATGGCACTCAACAATGCTTATTGAGCAGGAAATATGAAAAATACGGTTTGCGAAATGTTATGACCGCCCACAGTTTGTCTCTTGTGATGATGATTTTGTCATTAGACACTGGTCGCCATTCAGGGTCAATAAAGCACTGGCTTGGCACCAGGGAGCTCAGCCATCTCCCAGATGCAGCTCTCAGCTATCCCTGATGATCATTAGACCCACGACAGAGCAACATATATATTTTTATCATGCTACTAAAATTAAAAAAATTCTAGGGGTAGCAAACAATTACTGCACAAGATACAACAAGCAACTCCCTAGAGCAGGGGTGTCAAACTGGTGGCCCTCCAGCTGTTGCAGAACTACAAGTTTCATCATGCCTCTGCCTTTGGGAGTCATGCTTGTAACTGTCAGTCTTGCAATGCCTCATGGGACTTGTAGTTTGGCAACAGCTGGAGGACTGCCAGTTTGACAACCCTGACCTACAGCAGTGGTTGTTAACTTACAAGGTATAGTGAGGCCATGTGGTCTGTGACTTTACCAAGGACCAAGTGTACAATCCAAAAGCACACGTTCCTGCGTTAAAAATGGCTGTGTGTATAAGTGGGTGCTGCAGTGACCATCGGCTGGAACCGAACAGAATCAGCAAGGGATGTGACCAGTAAGGGAGAAAGTCAACAGCACACCAAGGATCACCAATATGGGTCCAAACGTTTTAATAAATGATCACATAGTCATACCTGATGAGGTCCTGCGAGACTCCAAAACGTTGCCTTGCTGCAACTATGTGATCGTTTATTAAAACCTTTGGACCCGTATTGGTGATCCTCGGTGGGCTGGTGACATTCTCCCTCTCCTTTACCAAGGGTCATCACACAATGTTCAGTATATGTGATGCTTCAGAAGACAGTCTGGGGACATACTACAGGAGAGGATCAGAGATTGTGGATATGCTACAGGTGTTGTTGACTGGAGACATGCAGCAGGACACAGAAAGAGACTGAGAACATGTTGCAAGAGACTGATGGAGACCATTGGCATTGCAGTCCCATTACTGCTGGGATTCAAGGACTGCACAGCAAGACCCAAGTGGTCTTCAGGCCACAGGTTGGGCACCTAGGCCGTACCGTGTATGCTACACAAGTATTTCGTTGTATCATCTCATGATCTCATGATGCATCAACTTGCATAGCTTACACTATAGGGGGGCATGTGTTTTCAACTGTGTAGAGATCCATTGCTACTCTAAGAGTTTTTAGCAGCATGGCTAATTTATAAAAAGTCTGTGTAGCCTTAGATCAGCCATACATATCTCTTTACATGGCTGGCAGGAAGATCTGTCCAATATGCAAGTATTTAAACTTGATAACTAAAATGAAGTCACACATAACTCCACCTCTCCTGTGCCTCACCATTGGGCTAGACTTATGATGGACAGCCTCATGAACCAAACAAGAACTAAAGCCATTGTTAAGACATATTACTGCTCCCCGGGGTTTGGGGCTCCATAGACATCTCCACTAGGTATGTGACCTTAGCTTACAGATATTCTTGATGTAAGGAATTGAAAGTAAATGCAGGTTCACTTTAATGTCATGTTGAGTTACTGACTTGAGGTGGCCCTAGACCTAAGAGGACATACAGACAAATCTAACTAGTTTATTGTTTTTGTCACCTTGCTCTACTCCTAAGAATTATGTTTGGATCACCCAAGCATGTATTGAATCGTGGGAAGACATCTCTGGTGCCACTATCCCAGGGAATAGTAAAAGCCCTCATAATTGGTTGTCTACAGGTGCTACACACATTCTAGAACATTTGCCTGACCTGGACATCAACTGATTTGAGCAGTGGAGTGTTTGTATGTTTGTAGGCCATCTTTGAGTCCAGCAGACATCCCCAGTCAGGTTTCTAGGACTGAAGATCGGCAGGCTGAGTTGGAATGCTCTCTACCAATTGCCATTGTTTCCCAATAAGAAATACTGTTTTATGGGGATGTCTGTAAGGGGACCACATTAGAAAGATCACTGGCTAGTAACTTAAAAACAAAAAAGGTATACAATTCCCAGGATCCACCAGCTGAGGATGTCTGCTGATATCTGGAGGTCTAACCAAGAGATGGTCATCCTAAGCCCAGGGGTGGACTGACAACTCATGGGGTCCCCAGGCAACAGGGGATCATGGGGCCCCTGTGTCCTCGCCCACACTCAAACCACACCCAAAAAAGCCTATGAAAAGGTACCAGGGGCATCTCATGGGGGCCCCTACTGACCCGGGCCCTCAGGCAGTGTCCAAGTTCCCAAATGGTCAGTCCGCCCCTGCCTAAGCCCCATTCCCAGCTATAGATGTGCCCTGGCCCTCCATTCCCTTAGGCCTCCCATTCTATCTTATAACAACTCTTTGTAGAGCAATGTCTATGAAAGCTGTGATCAGATAGTGGATCTGGTGGAGTAGGTAAGGTGGAGTAGGTAAGGGTTAGATCTGATTTTTTTTTTTACTTTGTTTTTCTGTCTGTGTCCTGTTGCACAGATTTATCGTCCCTTTCTATCCGGAGACCCAACAGAAACATTATCTACAAATTGAAGGTACATTTTCTTTTAGACACTGTCCCTGGAGCAGGTGTCCCTATTGGAAGGTTGCCCCTGTGTCTCTGTTCTAGCAAGAATTGTAACCTTTGGGACTTCCATATCACTTTCAGTTCTGAGGACAATGACCACCAGGATAAATAATGAGGGTAAATCTCCCCAATGGTAACAGAGATAACAATATAAATCTGCTAAAGATTCTAATCCTAACAAACTTTGTAAAAAAATCTTAAAAAAATTTTTTATATTTAAAATATACCCAAGAGTCTTTTTGTTGAGCCTTGCAAAGTCTTGACGTGAATGGAGTTTTGCCCCAGTAGATAATGTCCAAGTCCTGCAGTGTGGTCTTCAACCAGTTGTGTTCTCAAGTATTGAGGCTGGCATAGACATGAGATGGTCTGTTGTCCATTCACATGAACATGTATGCTTGGTTAATCCCAGCGCACAATTTTAGGTTGAATTTTGCACACATTCTCCCACCGTCTTGGAACCATGACCTGCTTTAGTGTGTACATTTAGCAACCCTTGCTGTTAGACTGCAGTTATTTCAAGTATACCTTCATTATCAATAATAGACTTTTCATTTTAATATAATTACTGTAGTATCTACAATTGCAAACTGCACTTTTTACAAGAGCGACTCATCCTGTACTTCTAGAGCCCTGTGCACGTGTACTGTGGAATACAATCTAATGTCTAACCTAGTCTAGTGTCTATGTATGCACTAGACCAGCTTTTCTCAGTCTGTTTTCAGTCACGGCACCCTTTGAAAACATGCAAAATCTCGACACACCTCAATTTAAAATGGGCCACAATTCACATCAGAAGCTCCCGATTTCATGTCAGAGTCCTTACTTCACGCCCTTTTACTTTAGAGTCCTCCACCCCCCCTTTCACATCAGAATCCTCAGTCTACCCCTTTCACATAAGAGTCCTCAGTCTACCCTCCCCTTTCACATCAGAGAATCTTCAGTCCCCCCCCCCTTCCCTTTGACATAAAATTCCTCAGTCCCTCCCTTTCACATAAGGGTCTTCAGTCCCCCATCCCCTTTCACATCTGATTCCTCTCAGCCCCTCCCTTTCACATTGGAGTCCTCAGTCCCACCTCTCCTTTCACATCAGAATCTTCAGTCTCCCCCTCACCTTTCACATCAAAGTCCTCAGTCCCCCCCCCCCTTCCCTTTCACATCAAATTCCTCAGTCCCTCCTTTTCACATAAGGGGCTTCAGTCCCCCCTCCCCTTTCACATCAGAGTCCTCTCAGCCCCCCCCCCTTTCACATGGGAGTCCTCAGTCCCCCCTCCCCTTTCACATCAGAGTCCTCTCAGGCCCCCCCCCCTTTCACATTGGAGTCCTCAGTCCCCCCTCTCCTTGCACATCAGAGTCATCAGTCCTCCCTCCCCTTTTCTCAGTAAAGTATATCCTACCTTCCACTCTTCATCACACATCATAGCACGGCTGTGCCAACATGGCAGTGGGTGGAAGGTGGATCAGGTCTTGAAGGAGGCATACTTCCATCCCCTTCTGGCTTCC